TCCCGACCCCCCACCCTCCCCCAAACAGTGACCACTAACCCCGAACCTGTTTTCCCGCGCTTTTCCACGTAATGGCAGACACAATGTTTACATACGAGACCACAGTGACTCCACGTAATGGCAGACACAATGTTTACATACGAGACCACAGTGATTCCATTTTGTTTTTACTATATAACTAACTTAGTTACGATATGTCCCTGTCGTTTTATGCAAGAAAAATTCTGAAATTGAGCCCAAAAACGTGAAATTACGCGATTCTGTTAATTTTAACAAAGAATGATAAACGAAAATAATCAGAAATTATGCAAAAAAAGGATGAAATTTTTGCTAAATTATGCAGGGTACATAAAACCACGGGGACAGCAGGTTTCATGGGTTGGAATTTGAACCGCAAGCATTCCATGTAAGAAACATGCAAGAAAATTGTCTCCTTTCGCCTCCTTTCCTGCTCTCCGGCAATATTCTGACGTCTGCTTTCCTTTCGTCTCCACTTTCTGCCCCCTCCCCCTCACCTCCTTTGCCCCCTCCTCTGGGCTCCTAACTCTTTCTGCAGCCTTTCTACTGCTACTCCTTGGCTCCTCCTTACTGCTGTCTTTCAGCCACACCCCTGATCTTATGGTAGGAAAGATCTACACCTAGCATTCTCGGACAAGGGCGAAAAATCTCGGAGGGCTCGTGTGCAAGTTGCGCATGTTAAAGATCCTTAGGTGGTCTAAAATCGATAAGAGTAGGCTTCGGTCGCCACCCGGGGAAAATTCAAAATTTCCTACCCACTGAAAATATTATGTGTGTCCCGAGCGCTCATATGACCTTTTGCAGTTGTGAGGGCCGTAAAACACTTTACAAACAAAAACAATCTACGATTGCAAACTGTTCTGACATACGAGTATCAAGGTGGATTCGAGCTGACATCTCTCGAGAATTAATCATTATCAATATTTGGAATTTTGCTTCGTTCATATTTTTAGTTTAGTTTTAGTAAGGTTTTACGGTGGTCGCAACTGCATAAGGTCATATAAGCTCCAAGGGGTGGATGTTAACAGAGAAGTTCTTACAGGGAACCAGGCTTACTCTGCTCACCTCTCTAGCCTCAACAGCCCAAAGTCTGCTTCGACTATCAAGGCACCCCGGAAATAGCAGTTCACAAGAGAGTGACAAACATACAAAAGAAGTAGAGGAAAAATGACGATAATATATAGTAAGAAAGAGGAAAGAAAAAGCAGCAGTTCCCCCTATTTTGTTCCGGCACAGTATGAGCATGACATTGATAAATCAGCCCATTTACAATTCTTCTGTGCATAAGAACATGTTAATACCCCCCCCCCCCTTTCGAAATAGCCTAAAGACAACTTCAGTTAGTAGCACTGCCGGGGGGGGGGGGGTATCCATTCAGTTCTCTAGTGAACAGTTTGTAAGTATGGACGCTTTTAAGGACAAGCGGGCCAACCCAGATTTCGAGGGTTTCCAGAAATCCTGACCTACACCAAAAGTGGGCTTTGCCCTACCTATGGGAGAAGATTGGTCTCATTGGAGTGTATATTTGTTTGGTTACAGAGAAAACTCTCCTGGTTTTTAAAATAAACTTAGCAAATGTGTTTTACACCGGTTTTAGGTACCATTAGGAATAGCATACTTTGAGACCCCAACAATGGTTGACCTAATTTAGTGAGTGCATGGCTAAAGTTGCACACAAACGACGTAAAAAAGGCCATCATTAAGAAAACAAAATCAGGACACAAGAAATAGCGCATCATAATGTGGTACAAGTAGATCTAGAGGTAAACCATCATTAAGAAAGCAAAACAGGACACAAGAAATAGCGCGTTATGTGGTACAGATAAGGGTCAACTGACGTCACAGCTCAGCGTCCTCACAGAGAGGAGCGACCCTAGATGTGCGCAGTCGGGGAGGTAAGCTCTGACTGTGGGAGACTCTCCAACTGTCCTCTCCCTTCTCTCCGTCCGGTCCCCACAGGGAGGAGAATGAGGCGAGGGGGAGAAGGGGAAAGGGAGAGTGAGAGGGGGAAGGGGAGAGGGAGAGGGGAGAGGGAGGGAGAGAGAGAGAGAGGGGGGAGGGAGAGTAAGGCGACCAAAGATGTGCGTAGTCGGTGAGGTAAGCTCCGTGTCTTGGACTCCAGCTGACTCCTTCATATTGCGCATACATCTATTTTTCTTTCCGAAAAAGAAAATAGTAAATTAGACTGTCTGGGAATTTATTTTGGTAAGTTTTAATTGCTGAAAAGATGTTTTATAAAGACAGCATGGGAATAGATCTAGGTTTGTTTCCTAGTTTTTATTTTCTTCAGAATTTACTTCTATTAGATCAAATTGTTTCTTTTTAGCACAAGAGGGCTATCCCGAAAAATGCTGTTTTGAGAAAATCAAAGGTAAAGTTTTTGCCCCTCGTTCAGTTTCTTCAAAAGACAAAGAGTTTTCTCTATAACCAAACAAATATACACACCAATGAAACCAAACTTCTCTTACAGGTAGGGATATGCTCACTTTTGGTGTAGGTCAAGATTTCTGGAAACCGCCGAAATCTGGGTTAGCCCGCTTGTCCTTAAAAGCGACCAAGTGGGAAAAGATAAGTTGTTGGGGGAGTGTTTTATGGGGGG